CTCATTGTGGTGTTCAAGCTGAGTAACTACTTAGAGGAGTCAGAGATACTCTTCAAAGATCTCTTTGCCATATAGGAAAAAAAAGAGGGCAAAACATTCTTCAGAAAAAAAAAAAAAAGAGTTAAAAAGGGAGAGAAATTAAAACAGCCTGGAATGGCACATGGGAAAGGGAGAACCCATTTATGTTACAAATATTTCAGGTTATTAAAATTGTTGAGAGCAAACGGCAAGAGGGGGAGAAAATTGGGCACTTCAGAATATTCTGGTTGGTGTTGTACACTTGTACACTAACAAAAAACAATAGATGTGACTTTCAGTTGAGTGTGAATTTTGTTTGACCACATTACTTGAGCCAAAGTTTGTTGTTTTAAGTAAAGCCTAACTATCAAACTAGTTTGTGATAAACAAAATATCTCCCAAAATCATTTTTATATTCCAGGCTTTAAAGAAGTCTTCTGAAAAATAAAGTGCTATAAAAGAAGAACAGTTGAAATAGAAGGCATTGTGGAGAAGTTTTAGGTATCAAGGGAAACTGAATGAAAAAGGCTGTAAAAAAAATACCAACTTTCATTAGAGGTGATTCAGTTTAATAGATGAAACACCAAAGGCAGACAGTGGTTTAGCACAGAAATACTGTGAGTTTTCCATACAGAAAAGAGCAGAACTCTGCTGATGTGTTGCTCAGGGACTTTGACCTCAAACCTTTTGATTTAAAACCTTGTATATGTATATGCAGTCAGTACTGCATTTAGTATGAATGATTTGCTTGCATTGATGAATGAGGATGTGAGGGGGTGCATTTGGCAGCACTGTATGTGGTTTGTGCTGTGTCAGCTGGTGTGGCCGAACTAGTTATCTTATCTACTGTAAATTTACACATCTGTTCTAACTTTGGAGCTTGACTTAGGGTGGAGGTGTCCCACTGCCTGTGTGAATCCTGCAATACCTGTTCTTGTTTGCAGTTCAGCAGATCGGAGTAGGTGCTGCTATTTCCAGCTCTGGCCTACGGGTGCTGTAGTTTCTTACCTGACGGCTAGCTAGGAGAGGTTTCCCCCATGTCTCCCAGATTGGGTGCCTAACCATTACTGAGCTGGGGAGGCAGAAGGGAGTCAAATGAGTGAATAAAATAAGGCAAAGGCTGACAGCAATAATAGGCAGATTTTTCAACTTTGTGGTACCCTTGGCCTCAGGCTGCCCTTCCATATTCTTTTGGAGGGATTCAAGAATCTTAATGTTCCTATATTGAGATCAGCTATATACAGTTTTGTGCCACCGAAATGTATAGGATTTAAACTTCAGGTTTCTGATATTCTACACATATGAATACTGCCTGACAGGTTAAAGATGACAGCTATTTATAATTGCCTAGAGAATAGTGGAGCTTGTTTAAAAAGAAATAATCAACTCTTAATAGTTCTTCTGTTTGAGATTTTTTTATGATGGGTATGTTTGTTTTGTAAGCATCTCTGTTCTGTAACAAGAATGACGATAGAAGATACAGAAGATTGTATAATAGAAGATTAAAAATATTGTGCTAGGGTTATTACTATTTAAACTGAAAATAGTGAGACATCTAATTGATCTTGAAATTGGTCTGATAATGCTCAGCTCTTGTATTCCAGCAGTGAATTGTGGTCATCGGTTGCAAACGATTTTAACCAATAGGGCATGGAGAAAAGGTACCATTCAAAGCTAAACACTAGAATTAGGGATGCATGACTAAATTTTCAAAGTAATGTATTCCTAGTATTGTATGGGACAGTCACATGAAAAAGATCATGAGGTTGTGAAAAGGATTATGATCATGCCTAAGTCATGAATTTCCTGGTAGAGATATTTTAGTCTGAATCCATGCTTGTTTAAATAAGAATAATTTGACTTGTTATATTACCATTGTGTGGCAGAGTGAGAAAAGGTGTCTTACCTACAGAAGTAGTATCCTTTGAGTAACTGAAATTCACTTAAACTTGAGAAGCTGTTTTCGCTAGTGAGAAAGTAAAGTTAAAAAGGTACTGAACGATTTGCTAGAGCGTTACAGTACATTCCGTGTACTTACCTGCTGCTGCTGTCTTCTGTGCAAGCATATTTAAGTTCACCTTTCTCCCCGGGCTTTCATTTGTCTTGCGTGTATCTTAACTGCTTACTCCAAATCCTGAACCTGTTCTTCGCATTCAGTAACATTCAAGATTGTAAATCCCATTGATGGAAATTGCACAGAAATATGGAGCTGTGTTGGATCTGTCACCAGCCATACTCCTGACCCAGTACCTTTACTTACTGCCAGAATGTTTCTGCTTCCTGGGATGATGTAAGTCACAGAGCCCAGGTTCTCAGCCCATGTGAGAAAGAGCATATGTTCTTTATTTAAAGGTTATGGAGTGAGTGTCCAGGCAATCATACAATCTGAGAGTTGACTTAGTCCAGTGACTTCTGGATGAAGATTTGCAACCAGTTTCATTGTACTCCACCAGTAACAACTCTGTACTTACCTGTTTCCTCAAAGGAGAATTCAGAGAGCTTCTGGAAGGTGCTTTGAGATGCTTTCGGTGTTTCTACTTGAATGCCAGTGATGTATTTATACAAACATTAAGGCTGCCTTACATGGAATCCATGCGTGAAAATGACTATATGAAAATAATATCTCAGTAAATTTGGGGGATGAACTAATTTACTTGAAAAGATGGTCACAGCCATTAAAATAATAACTGCAATGTAGGTGATTGGAAACAAACTGGGGTCATTCCAGACTGATGGTTGAGCTGGTGTTCATAAAAATAAAACAGTAGTATACAGTGATTACCCATTAAGCTCTCTGGTGTCCCTAGAATCAGTTTTGTTGCAGGTGCCTCCGTTTGACAGTTACTCTTCTGATCTTAGATTTGCAGAGGGTCAGTATTGCAAAAGAGGGTTCTGTTGTGGTAATCTTGCAAGCAGTTGAAGCCTCAGTGAAAACTCAGTTTTCATCTTCTGTGAAGGTTAACAGGAAAATTTTTTTCTTCATTCTTCTTTGTTAACACATTTATTTTCTATATAAAGTCATTAAAAGGTATCCCTTCTTTACCTTTGATTCCTTTCCTCTGTCAACCTGTTGCACGTATAGGAGCTTCCAGGAGAATTTATTTGTGGGATTTTTTGTGCATTAGTTTTGGAAGTTCTTAAGCACAAAACCCACACTGATACTTTAGGAAATTCAAATGGATCTTAAATGTTTGTGGTTTGCTGCAAAGCATTTTCATGACCAATTTCACGAAGCGTGTTTTAGTTCACAGCTAGGGTGGGCTTGAGACAGGCAACTAAATTTATCATTTCTTGTCTGAAAGACAGTATCAAGTTAGGATGCATGGACGGGGTCATTTGCATCTTTGTGAATGTAGGATCAGTCACAGCTCTACTCAAGGTGCACATGAGGAACTAGAACTGCTTTCAGTGTAAAAAGAGTTATAAACTTCACCTGTTCTCCTGTTATTTTACATCCTTTCGTTTGCTGCAATGTTGTGGTACCATTCAGGTATGCAGAAACCAGGGTGAATGGAACTTCTGTCCTTACCCTTTCACTCAGCTCTCATTTGTCAGTCATGTTTTAAATCTAACTAGTTACATGTAAAAAGCCCTACTGTACTTGTTTCATCTGTTTTAGTTAACCTTGTTAAACTGTTCAAACTAGACATTCAACCGTTCAGATTGATTGGGAAGCTCCATGCTGCTTTTTGTTGTTTGCTCCTTTGCTGATAGGAGGGCTTGACTATCTACTATGTGTATGTAGCAGAATTGTTGCAAATGTTCCACATTTATTTGGCTTGGTAACCAGCAGAACAAATTAAGTCTTGCTAGAAAACCCTGGCAGTCTTCACATGATTTATTTTTTCTTTAAAAACTCCATGTATTTTAGTGGTTATTCTCTTCCCAAAATTAAGTCTCTAGAAAATAGAATTCATAAAATACAGTTCTTGGCTTATCTTTACCTTTCTAATTCATTGACATTTTTACATAAGCTTGGATTATTTTTTTCTTTAAAGTTTTTCTTGGAATAATTATTCTGGCTTTACATGTATTTTTACTAGCAGATGTAGACAAAAGAACGCTGTCATACTTTGTAACATAGTGAATTGTTTCCAGCTCTGAACACGAGACCGACTTCTGCAGCGCCCTCTTGTTATCTGATGTTGAATAGTAAGTTTCTTGCATTTAATACTAAGTTGAAAACCACATGTGTTGATGATAGAATCTCTACAAACTAGTACTACTTATTTGAGCTTGATTGTATCAGCATTAACAGCACTTTGAGTAGCATAAACATGTTTTCCATATAACCTGATTTTTAAATGAACATCCACTTAGATCTTTGAAATCAGTAAACTCATGTAAGTAAAAAGTACTAAAAATACAAACATTTCAGCAATATATTGAAGTTCATTAATGACAATTTATTTTTAAATCACTAATTACCAATCGAAATCGACCTTAACTATTCTGTGATTCTGTGAAATAGGGAATTGTGCAGTGTGTGTCTTTAGTGGGCATACTTTAGCAGTACATAAGAGAGCAAGTGATCTGTGGGTTTTCAACTGTATTGTCTGCCTGTCATCCTCATAAATAAGAAAATACTGTATGGTTGGTTTAAAATAATGTTTATTCTTTTGTACTTTAACAAGATTTTCATTATACGGTATTGTAAGCACAGGTGCCTCTGAAAATATACAAAAAAAATGTTCTGATATGACTGACTGTCAATGCTGATCTTTTTATTGTAACTGCCTCCTGTTAGTATGGTATGTAAGACTGCATCCGTAAAATACACAGAGCCTATCTTACTGTTGGATAAGTATATTAATACAATTTCTGCAGTAAAAATACTGTGACTGTTATTCTGTGAATGGTGGTATCTAAAAGGATTTGTGAGTCATTCAGTTGGTACAAAGAAGCACCAAACTGATAATCATGTAGTACAAACATTGAGATTGCTCTTAACACCTAAGTGCTTCCCCTTGTGTTTCTTGTAGGAAACAGAGATGAAGGTACACATGCACACAAAATTTTGCATCATTTGTTTGCTGACATTTACCTTTCATCAGTGCAATCATTGCCATAAAGATGGACATCACCGTGGTCCCAAAGGGAAATGTGGACACTACCATAATGACTGTCAGATCTCAAATGATTCCTACTTCCAGAATGGAGGAACAGAATCTATGCCGAGTAAATTTTCAACGTTGGAAGCTGAAAATGAACAAAAATACTACATTGAAAAGATATTTGATCGTTACGGTGAAAATGGAAGATTATCCTTTTTTGGCCTGGAAAAGCTGTTAATAAGCCTTGGTTTAGGAGAGGTAAAAGTAGTGATGATAAATCATGATGATATTGGCCATGATCATGTTTCTCACTTATATGCTTTAGAAGTCCAGGAAGGAAAGCATTCTCATTCTCATAACCATCCTCATGGCCACTCAGATTCAGAAAACCAAACCATGGCTGTAAAGAGAAATCATAAATGTGACCCTGAGAGAGAGACAGTAGCACTATCAGTAAAAGATGATGGCAAACACAGTCATGACCAGAGTCGTCATCATCGTCATCACCACCCTCGTGTACATCATCATGACCATAATGGTACACATCATTCTCGTAATGATTCAGTTAGTCATAGTGAACATGGAGAACAGAACCATGAACCTTCAACAGAGACAAACACAACTCAAGATCAGCCAGAAAGAAAACAGCGCAAACAGAAGAAGAAGCAAAAGAAGATCAGTGAGACTTCAGGAGATTATGCCCCAGATCATGATTCAGGTGATCAGCATGAGCACAATCGTGTTCATAAACTTGATCATGCACATGATGCATCTCACTTGCATGTACGCCGTCATGACCACAGTAGCGATCGTTCTACTAGTCGTGGGCATCAAGATTCCAGTTTAGGTAATGAGGATGGGCACCACCATACCAGCAAACGAGAGGCACCTCGTAAACAGAGTAGTGTAAGAAAACGTGCTCTTTTTCCATCACATAGTCATAAGGATCATAATGAAGATGAACGTGGTCGTGAAGAGGTGAGTATTAAATGAAGAACCGGTAAGTTGACTTTCACTGTTATTACATAACAATTGAAGGTACATACATACCCACAAATCAGTGCAGAAGCACTGAGACCGTTGCATAACACAGGTTGCAGAGTGAAAAGGTGAGAGGTTACTGCTACAGTTTTGAGTTTACTGTCGGGGTGTTCATTTCTGTCTGCCTGTCTTTTCTCAGAGATCTATCTTCATGCGTATTTACCTGTATAAAAGAGCTCATTAAAGCTTTCTGAGATATCCTGCTTACAGGTGGGGTTGTTTCTCTTCCCAATATTCATTAATACTTCACTCACAACCCTCTCCCCTTTGTTTTGGACTTCTTTCTGCATCTAAGATGATTAACATATTTGGAAACTGCATGGAGACTCTTTCGAAAAGAAACTACTGCATCTCTTTTTTTTTTCAACATGCTTCTAATTTCTTTGTGCTAAGAGATTGCAAAACAATGTAAACGAAGCTTCAGTAGCACTGTGGTCAGTGTAAGCTCTTTCATTTCTCCCTTCAGCATCCATTATTTCTGCCTGGACCGTAAATATACTTTCGCTTCCCCCTTGCAGTTAACTGCTGAAGCAGGACATTTTGCTGTCATGGTTTTAAGCAAGAAGTCAGGATAGGAAAGGGTGGAGTGAGTGCTGAGGCCGAAGTTTTAATCTGAACTAAAAAGTGAAACTCCTAACAGAGAAGGTCCATAAAGAGAAGTGTTAGAAAATGTGGTTTGGGTTTATATTCTTGCAGTCCGTTCCTGTTGCTCTTTCTTCATTGCTTATACTTTGTAATGGTAAGACTATGGAAACTCATTTTCACTGGCATCTATCAAAAATTTTATTGGTGTCTGAAGTTATAGTGCAGATATTTTTACTGTTTCTTCATAAACCACTTAGATCAGCTAAGACATGTTTTAGCACTGGTGAAATGCTGTGGGCCGGAGTTTCCACTTTCTGTTTGTGTTCTCAAGTTATATGCAAAATTTTCCATAGCTGTAGTTTTTAATTAAATAGTCGCTTTCATACTTACTTTGTTTGTACAATTTGCTTGCAGTGCTTAAATGTTACCCAGCTGCTACGGTACTATGGTCTGGAAACCAGCTCACCGATATCTCCTGAATTGTTTGTATACATGTGTCCTGCTTTGCTATACCAGATTGAGAGGAGGCTTTGTATTGTACATTATGATGAGCTTGAAGATGTTATGAAAAGTAAAAACGCGTCAATTGAGAATAAAGATAAAACAGGTGCATCAGGTAGGTATTTAACATCTAAAGTCTTCAAAATCATTTTGCATTGTAAATATTAACTTGAAAGCTTAAAACGTCATACAACTTAGTATTGACTGTAAAGGAATGGTTACAATTTAACATACTTACTCGAAGAAATTTGAGACGGCATGCTGCTTTGAGTCAGGAAACAGCGTCCTGTTTGGCAGTATAATGGCTTCTAAATGACAGTGGCTCAGGGAGGCATACCTTTCTTTCTTGTAACTTTTTATCCTTTTTCATTATTTTCACTTCTTATGTTTGCTTATTTTTACTTCCTTTTATTGGTCTTCTGTCATTGCGGGCTAATATCCTAACTTTGGGCCTGTGGCCCAGGCATTTTGGCCTGGATTTGTCCCACGTATCTTTGGACGTTGGACTTTTATAGGAGCATAGGCAAGGTACAGAATCTTTGGGAATGAAAGGACCCATAAATGTGACCAAATCTACCCACCGTTTCGATTATTTTCTTAAATACATACTTTGTCTCTTAATGTGATTGAGGTGGTCTGTGTCACTATCTCCAAGTCGGAAAGTTGCAGCATTAGTTTGGCGTAAATTTTCTTAATGGATTTGATCTGGATCTATGAATTCCGGAATAGAGAACAGCACTTCCATCACAGCTCATTCACTGCAAAATATAGTTTAGCTGTTGCTGGTTTTATGTTCTAGCAGTAATGCAAATTTGTAGAATTGCCATCCAGAGTTTTTTGTGAACTGAAGAAATACAAAGACTTAGGCAAGACACAAGAACATTCAAATTGCCATTTCTGACAACACTTCCCTTTTCTGACTTCCAGTATCAATTCTTCTATACTGCTGCTCTCTTAAGCATATGAGAAGTATTCAATCAAAATCCTCTGTTGACAGTTTTAAGGCAGTTTGCCTTGAGTTAAAATCAGGCTTTTGTTTCTTCTTACCATAGTTTTAAGCTAAAAATATTTTTTACTCCTGTTAAAGCAGTTAATGTAAGGGTGGCATCCATTGTGATTTCGTCATGCTTTTACAATACATGCTTACTCCTGCTGTCTTTCTGAAGTTATAATGGAACTGTTGACATGTTTAGCTGTGGTATAGTATTAAAAATTTAAAAAGTCTTGGGCACAATGTCCATGTTTTGAGAATAACGATACTGGTAATTATGAGTATTTATTAGGACATAGGTGCTTATTAGTACCATTCAAAATAAAGCATGAAGTAAGTACACTCTCATAGATGATAACTGTTGGAAAGAATGCATTGCTGCTAATTTTTCTTAACAATGCTGGAGTCATTAAAATGATTGACTTTCTACACATAAATCTCCTACAGTGACACAGCCACTATCTTGTTAACTGTTCAAAGGTGGTAAGCCGAATATAGCGTGTGTTTTGTATGGCAGCAGATTGTTTTGTGGGGTAGTTTCACTGTAGTAAGGGTTGACCCCTGCCTTATTACCAAGAGGATTTCTAGAGTAGCTCTAAGCATTTTCTGCCAATTAAAAGGTGGAAACCATGTACAAAACCGCCATGTTGCAGATGCTTTGAGCCAGTTTAATTAGGAAGTTTCTACAGATGAGTGCTTCTATTTAAAAGAATGCATTTTCTCTCTCTGTAATGAGGAAGGCAGTGGATGAATAAATTGGCTTGATGACCTTCAACATTTTAAGGTGCTTAATTTGCAAAATCAGTGAAGCTTACTGTGAACATTTAACATGCTTTCTGACAACTGGGATCTTAAGTATAAATAGCAATAGCAATAATAGTTTGCCAGTTAATTGAAAAAAATTGGGTTTTAAGTTATGGGTTGTGAAAACACGATAACCTCTAAAACAGGTCAGCTGGGCTAGATAATGATAAATCATTCTTCATAACAATTTTCTGTATACCCTTGTGCTAACTACAGTGAGATTTCAGTTTTTCTAATAATCGTCTTCCTTTCTTAAGGAAGTGAATCTCAAAATAACAAATCTAAACTGCTATATGGGGATTGTAGGAGGTGTAGGATGAATGTCAGTCATAGAGTAACTTAACCTGCAGGTTGTAGGATGCTACGAAAATTAAAATGTGTGCTTACCTGAGCTAAGGTAAACCTTTTTAGATAGGAGTATTTGCCAAAGTTATGAGGATGCAGACATTTTTAAACACTCATTTCCTCTGATTTTCTTTACTTCTAATTAAAGCTTTCAAAAAACCTAGAGCAGTGCTGCTCATATTCATTGGTACTATCCTGTAAGGTTTCCATTAGTTCTGATAGTGCATTTTCTAAAGCAAGCTAATTTAGTTAACTGATGACCAAAAGCTGAGGAAGCCATGCTGGGTTTTCTTCCTGTAATTTACAGACAGTTCAGCAATTAGTTCTACTAGTAGAGGATTTTAAAGGGTCTAAAGCTGAGCTTTCACAGTGTACCTTGCTGGGAGAGGAGGCTTTGAAATCATCAAGGGCATCTAAATAATTTGACTTAAAAGGAAAAGTACACCCTACTATGAATCAAGCTAATAGAAGTGATACAAGTAAACAGTAACAGGTTTTTTTATAGTGGAGATCATTTAGAGCTATCGATTAAAAGTGTTTCCGATAACTTGTACATCTGCCTGTGCAGATACCAGTGTTCCTGAACCCAGGAAGGCTGGAGTTTCAGTGGAGCCTTTCTGTTACCTGCAAGCTTTAACAAGAAAGCAAGCTACCTAACCATTGTTGGCCTTCCAAGGAGTCTGCCTTACTATGGAATTAGTCTAATTTACAGGTAGCTGTCCAAATCCAGTTTGAGAAGCCGTCTGTTGTTTGTTACCCACTGTTGGAACAGAGGGCCCTTGCTGAAGAAATTGTTCAGTCACAAACCTCTTCTTTTTTTCCACAGGGGTATTTTACAAGCACCTGCACAATAACTTCACCTACATTGCCAAAGCTTTATATAGTATTCCTAGGAGTGTTATAAATCAAGCTTTTGTAACTTAGGTGCTCTTGCAGGGTTTATAATATCGCACATTAGTTCCATTTCTATAATATTTAGTGTTTTGAACACTACAGATCAATGAAATCTTTCCATAAATTTCTTTTATTGGAATTTTGTTACAAGTCTTCCTTGGTAGTCCTTTTTATATGAGGAGTGTTGGTACATAGATGTAACTGTGGGGCCATGTACAGCTTCTGTATATAATATATTTTTTTAATCATTGATTTGAGAGCAATCTTTCAACCTTTTGCTGATCATTTTGGCTTAAACAGAGACAGAAGCTGATGACCAACATCTGAGAGATGCACAGATGCCATATTCTAATTCTCATGTGCCTTATCTTAATCATGGTGCCATGTTTAGATACTGTATAATTCATCAGAGTATGTAAGACTTTCCAAGATGCATTTGCCAGATCTGTGCTATGATACATGAAACTGAAGACATAATCTCTTCCCATTTTTCTCCATGTAAGGCTCTTGGTCATCTAACCTGGCACTTGATGTCATTAATGTCTGTGTCCATTTTGGCAATCCAAAGTCCTGCCAAATGACTGTGTAATATTTATTTGGGCTACTTGTGTATGGTTGCATAATTCAGCATTGAATTACACGACCATATATGCTGTTTGTTTCAGCAGAGCCTTTTAATCCAGACTACATAACTGAAGTGCTCTGGGGATGAATCAAGGCTTGTGTAGTGGCAGCATTTTGGTTAGCAGGGACCTGCTTCTACTCTAGACATACTTTTGTATTCTCGTTTTCCAGCCTTGGTTTCTTAGTTCCTCATCTGCTGGCAGTCTTTGCCTTTTCATCAGCTCTCATGTTTTCCACTTGGTATCAATATGCATTTCAATGTATACTGTATACAGATTTTCCCAATCAGTTTCTCCTGGTGAATGTGCTCTTGTACCCTTTTCTTTGAATTGGATTGTTTCCTTTTCTGCACTGTTGTGGAATGACAGCTACAGATTTCATAAGAACTGATATCCCAAAATAAGATGGAAACCAGCAGATGTTGTAACTCTTGCTGTTGAACAGACCAGGCCTGCAGCAGCCACAGTTTGAGTGGCAAAGTCTTGTCAGATCTGATCTGTAGCATTTTTGGTACAGACAGAACTCTTGGAACATTTGGCTGCTAAATCAGAATTCACTGAGCAGCTACAACATATTCATTCCTCTTTTCTTCTCCTCTTCCCTCCATCCCCCCCATTTCCAAGGGTGTTTTTATCCCACTTGATCAAAAATGAGTGGACCTGTAAGGAAAATTCATGCGCCAAAGTATGGAAATGCTGATAATTTCAAATGAGTTGTTAACTTCCATGGAAGTTGGCAAACTATGTCAACATTATTGATTAAGAATGAAGCTAGCAAAAAAACTTGGAAAAAGCCGAAGCATTTAGGCTAAAATAAAAGAATAGTTCAGATTGAGGAAGTCATGTTCATGAAAAATCTCAGCCCAAACAGTTAATGTTTGTAAAATAGGAGCACCAACTGTTGCTGTCTTTGGGTCTGTGAACCTTTTGAATAGTATTGTTATAATTGAACAGTTTTTACTTACTGTTCTTTGAAGTTTCTGTGATGGAAAGAAATGAGAGATGATAGGCAAAGAGAGAAGAGGAAAAACCTATCAGTTCTAATTCGTAGCCTTACGGCTTGAAGGTAGAAGAGAAAATATTTTATTAGGGTGAGATGCTGGCTGCAAGAGCCATCTTTCTTTGCTGATAGGATTACGTTGGGTGACCATATTCCTATTATCGCATAATGCCTTATGTTGGTAGTGAGTTAATTTCTGCTCTTCCAAGCTCTTAGCATTTTATTTTAAAGTTTCTCTGTCAAAGGTTGAGTCTTCTCCCAAATGAAAACTTGTGTTTCAAAGCACCAGGTGAAATGAATGGTGCCTAACTGAACATGCACCTCATAACAAAAGAGAAGAAATACTGATTGCAGTTAAGTTTGGCAGCGGAATCATTTTAAAAACAAGTGTTAAATATGAGTTAGTCCTCGTAGACATCTGTTAAGTTAAGTAGCAGAGACTGATTTGTTCGAACACGAAATCTTTTGCTTTTTGTGTTTCATGAAGGGCTACAGAGGGAAGCCTGGTACAGCCAGGAAGAATTGCTCAGCTCCTTTTAGGGGATTGTCCTCTGGTGTCTTTCCCTGTATTGCACTGTACTGCAAATAAGCCTGTGTGTGTTTTGCTGTGGACTTCAGTATTGCCTTCATATTTTTCAGCATTTTATGAATGAACAGTCACAATTAGGTTTTAAAGGAAGGTGCCATTCTTAGGAGAGAGTTGAAATTCATTAACCAGCCTTAAAAGTCTTACAAGTATTGTTCTGATAATCTTTCTGTATTCATTTCTTCCCACAGCCTGGTTTTGTGGTATCATCTCTATCACCGTCATTAGCCTGCTTTCCTTACTAGGTGTGATCTTGGTTCCCATCATTAACCAATGGTGCTTCAAATTTCTTCTAACTTTCTTGGTAGCTCTGGCTGTTGGAACAATGAGTGGAGATGCACTACTCCATCTCTTGCCACATGTAAGTATGGTTTCCTTACCTTCTTTTCCCCCCTCCTTGCTCTTAATTGTAACTAGATAATAGCATTTTCAAAGAATTGTTTGACAAGTATCAACACATAAATGTTCACTGTTGCAGATGCAGATGACTTAACTGTGAGGGACAGGCTGATACTGTGTGAGACTTTCTGTTAACAAAAAGAAAATGTGGATTAAAGTAGTTGTGTATTCATAGTTTTAACTTCTGTCACACTACTTTAAAACATCCAATGAGACCAACAATAGTATTTAAAGTTTTACTATCTCTTGTCTACTGAAATTGGTGTATCAGTAGCAATTAAAAGTATTTAGGGGGGCTTAAACTTCCTCATTAATTACTAGTCTTTGGGGAGAAAGTAACTTCTAACTTACTGAACCAAGAATTTGTCCCAGTTCCTGGGAAGATAAACAGGTTTTAGTTTGTGGTGGGGTACTGTAATTCTAAATGTTATCTTAATTCTTTCAGCATAAAGTCTGATGTTTGAATGTTTCCTTTGTGTAAATTTTAATACAAATTTCTGGGCATTTCAGACATTTTCCAAGTTTGGATTTCATATCAGAAGTAAGGCTGTAACTGGCTGCAACTGTTAAATCATCTTTGGTTGCTAATGGGAGTGTGGGAATGGTAGTTCCTTGTGACAGTATGAGTGTTAGTCTCATTAGCTATAGCATTGTGACAACCTCATTATGTTCAGCATTGTGACAGGAAAAAAGCTGAAACTAAATTATCTCCCATTCACCGCTAAAAAATTTCCCAGAGGAATATTCTTTTATTCATTAGGGTAATGAATGGTGTAGTGAGAAGTTTCCATAGTAAAATGCATTTGTGTTTTAAAAACAAACAAAACCCAGCAAACAACCAAAACCACACAAGCACACAACCCAACTCGTAAAGTCTTTTTCTGCTACTTTTCTGGCAATGTTACATGTTTTGTCATCAGAGCGTGGATCCATTTCAGTCTCCTGATTGCACCAGGTCATGCTGTTTCATTGTTTTCTCTCCTAAGTCACATGGAGGCCACAACCACAGTCACCACCATGGCCAAGGTTATGTACATGAACACAAGCGTTCTCATCGACATGCCCACGGACATGGAGTGCAGACAGAAGGCTTTCTGGAAGAAAATGATCCAGTGCTGAAAGGTCTTGTGGCACTTGGAGGCATTTATGTTTTGTTCATTATTGAACATTGTTTAAGAATGTACAAGCATTACAATAAACAGAAGGTATGCGCTAAAATTGCATGCTGTGATAAAATATATTACCTGAAGTTCTCTTCTGCCTTTTGAGGAATTGCCTTTGTGATGATTCATTATATTGTGAAGATGAACGAGTGCTGCTTATCTGCATTCTGTTTGATTTTATGGGAGGAAACCCTTTTGTAAAAGAGGTAATTTGGGAAGGTGGAGTAGAAATCTGATGGGGGAGATTGCAGCTTTTTGGCCAGATATATTTGGAGGTAGGCCTGAGTAAAAGAGATGACAGCTCTTTCTCCGAAGCACCATGACTTTTGTTTTGCAAAATAGGAAAGGCAGTGTGTAGGAAAGAACTGGGAATAGAGCAGGGCAGTTGTCAGACAATTTAACTGTATGTTGCTAGCTAATGAGGCCAGCGTAAAGAGCTGTTCAGTTTTTCTACATGAGAAAATGCTAAAATTTGCAGACCTCCTGCTTCCTATAAATTGCCAGTCAAATTTTAACTTGATTCCCTGAAAATGATTGGATTTTTAGGGCTGGAAGCATGTGGTCTAAAAGGAGAGGAAGAACCTCAGGGTACTTGAATGACAGGAGGCTGAGATTCAAGCAACCAAAGAGCCATAGTCTTCCAACAGTCAGTATAGGATCATAGAATGGTTTGGGTTGGAAAGGACCTTAAGATCATCTAGTTCCAACACCCTGCCATAAATACGCTTTCAGCTTTTGCCTCCGTCATTCAGCTTTGAGGAATAAATTATTTTGGTGAAGCTGTAACTGCTTCACCCAAATGAGCATGGAAACTTTTGAAGTTCTCTGTTTTCACGTCAGACCTGCTGCCTCAGCTGGACAGGCAGCAAGAGGAGGTATTTCCTAGATCTTCTGATAAAGAGATAAAAGCTGTCACATTGGGCATGTGTTCTTTGAGGCTAATTAAGTAATTTAATCCCCACGCTGCTTTGCCGAAACTGTGATCTCTGTTCTATGGGCCTCAGATAGGAAAGCAGCAAGCTTTTCTCTAAAGGGAAATACAAGGAACTTATGGGAGTATAAAAAAAAACGGAAGTTGAACAAAACGGAGGAGCTGTTCTTGCTGTATGTTTGCTTTGTTGAGCAAAACAAGCAAATATAATAACTGCCTCCATGTGTTTCTGGGCTGTTAGTGCAATCCTTGCCATTATGTACTCTGTTATTGAAATGAAGTACAGTCTGTGTGTGAGTGAGATTCTGTGGTGCAGCTAAGAATTTTCACTGGTATAGATATTGTTGCTGAGCCTTAAAAAGATTAATACTCTGGAAGTCCCATACTTCTGTTGGATGTATCAAGAGAGAGTAACTTAAGTCTGTTTTGAAGAGATTTTTGGACAACCTTTCAGTTTCTTTTATTTCCACTGATGTGCTTTTACAAAGCAGATGTTATTTGTTTCCTGTTGCAGAGTAAGCAGAAATGGTGCAAAAAACCCCAGACTGAAGAATCACCAATTGGAAGGAAACTTTCTGATCACAAGTTAAATAATAGACCAGATGCTGACTGGCTTCAGCTCAAACCCCTTGCAGGTAGGCATTCATTTTCAGCATTTTCTCTGACTGTGAGATTCAAAGTAATGGCATGTAACCTATGGCATGTAGCATGTAACCTCTTGTACAGTTTTGCTGCTGTTATGCAAATCATCGTTAATAAGACTTAATAGGCTTTCCCTATTAAATCTTTATTTTGTTTCCCTTAGATCTGAGAGCACTCTGAATGCTTCCTAATATACTATACAAATGGTTCTCAGACTTCTGAAGCAGCGAGATTTTGGGTGGCTGTGGTTTTTTGGAGGGGGGGATTATTTGTTTGGCTTGGGGGTGTTTTCTGGTAAAGCTGTGCCTGACTAGCTCAGCCCTGGCAAAAATGAGATCAAAACCAAACACGCAATCTGAAAGGGGTTACCTGTTTCACTTTGAAGGTTCCAGCCTCTGACCAATTATAGTTTGGCTAAGACGGCTAAACAAAATTAATATATTTTCATAAATACAACTGAGTACTCTGGATATTACTCAAACATCCGAAACAACTTTCAGATGCTGTTCCTTCATGGGAGTTTGGATGCTCATGTGGTGTGTACCCAGAAGGAATGGCCCTTCTAAAAAGGATGACGGAAGGGCTTTGCTTTATAACCTTCCCTTCCTGTTGCCTGTGTGGCTGTTGAATGAATTTGTGATGAAGAATCCATAGGCTATATTTATACCAATGCAATTTTGTTAATTTGAATGATCTGTGAAAGGGGGAGCTAGGACTGTAGTCTTCTCAAACAACTTAAAATGAGATCTGGGACATTGACGTAGAACATAGGCTTTCAGCTTTCAGATGGTGGTATGTGTCTTCATGTCTTCAAATGTCTTCATTTTCTTTCAATGGGCAATCAGCAGAATTTTGCTTATAATAACATGAAGTACGTACTGGTTTCATTACACTGCCTCTAAAACTCTGCACTCTTCTGCGGACAAGTAAATCATTCCTGCTACCGGCACTGTAAGCCCATGCTGAATTTGAATGTTTAATTGCAGTGCCACTACCAGTGACCTGAATGGCCATGCCATTTCTTTTCAGACAGGTTCCAAATGATGGTTAAAAACCTGTTTATCTGGAACTCCTTGAACTCTTTGCTGCTTAGGCACTCTGTGCTTATTTTTGACTCTGAATATTTCTGTTGAATTATTGTTAGCTACTAACTTCATTGTCCAGAACTGCCTTTTTTTTCCTACAGCCGGTTTTGTTTCCCTCAGCACAGATTGCCGGTTTCATTTATTTATTAATACCTTAGAAATGTTAGTAGACTTAATGCACATTTGCCTTGTGCATAGTTTTCGCTTTGCATTTCTTTGTAAAAGGAGCTTTGATTGCTAGCAGGGGTAATAAGCAACATTGAAGGAGCTCACCATATGACACAAGTGTCTGACACAAAGATGCATGCAGTACAGAAACTATTTGAAGACCTATTTTATCAGTGGCAGATGCTGGAATGCATCAGTGAAGGCTAAGTTGTGACCCATATGGGTGTGCATTGAATAGCCAGTTAAGGTTTCCTGAGCCATTCAGGTTCCATCTACAATGTATAAGACATTATCATTTTGTCAGCTGTCCTTTTCTAATGTTGAACCATGACCTTTGTCACTAGCAAAACTGTAGGCTAAACTGAATGTTGACAGCAGAGTTGCTGGATTGGGATGTGTTAAAACACTTCTTTTGCTTTCGCAAAGCAGTTGAATTCTTAACTCAGTGATACTCAGTAGTTGCTGGTGGTATTTTAAATAAGAATTAATGCCATGTCTCTCCCAACTGGCTTCAATGTAGGAGCAGATGACTCAGTTTTGTCTGAAGATCGACTCAATGAAACTGAACTAACTGATTTAGATGGCCAGCTGGAATCCCCTCCCAAAAACTTCTTGTCTGTGGAAGAGGACAACAATATGCACCATTCTCACAATGATATCTCACACGCTGCTCAAGAGCATGATCTTCATGATTCAGAGTATGACAGCCATGGCGAAGATAAAATGATAGCTAGAAAGCACAGTCACCACTGGCATCACAAACATTCCCATCATTCCCATGGCCACTGTCATTCTGGAAAAGACCTGAAAGATACTGGGATAGCTAATATTGCATGGATGGTAATTATGGGAGATGGCATTCACAACTTTAGTGATGGCTTAGCAATCGGTAAGCAAAAAGCACCAAGTATTTCTCAAGTTTCTTATCTTTAGTAACTTTGGTAATATTTTAATTATCAGCGATCACAGGTAAGGTTTCCACTTAGCTCCTGTGATTGCTGGCATTGTTTAATCTCCTTCAGAGCAGAAATTAAAAGGCCATCAATTGCAGTAGTCTTCCCTTTGTTAATATTCTGTGACCAGCTTCTATCATGGCAGTAGTCTTGATGTAGTGACAGTTGCAATCTCTGCCAAATAAAGATAGATGCAGACAAACGTCCTTATGAATTATGGAGCACATGTAATGCACATTTGGTTTTTGGGTCTTAATATGTCCCTTTGAATAATAAAATGGGCCTTTCAGTCTTATTTATAATGATACTTGTTAGTAATATTAATACTATTTCTATTATTATTAATACATAGAATTATACAGTAATAAGAAATGTACTATGGTTAGGTGGCTGAAATAGTTCTTTTTGAAGTACTACTTAGGATAATTTAGTTTTTGTTTGAGCAAAGTATTTTGTTGGCATATGGTCAGTTTAGATTTATTCCTTAACTAAACACAGAAGAGATTGAAGTACCAAGCAGATCTTGCTAGATTTTTTTAAATCAGCTTTGATTCACATAGACTTCTAAATGTGATTTGAACTGTAAAATACACATTAATTTGAATATATGTTTGTCATACAAACCAAAATGATGGTGAGAGTACTGAACTGAATATTTTTTACTAAGGTAGCAACTAAGAGTGCACAGGGTTCCAAACTACTAGCAGGAGGAACATACTCACTTTGAAGGATGGGGGATAAGCTGTGTATGAGGGTCCTCAGTTAACAATGGAATCTACTACAATTTCTCCGCTTTCTCCAGGCAATTTCTAAAGAAACTAAACTCTGTAAAAATAAACTTTTTTCTTCATTGTCACATTAAATAGGCTAAGACATTTAGGCAGTGGCTTCTAAGGCCAAAAAGGGTTTGTACACTAAAATTGATTGAATTAAATTAGCTTACACAATAGTTACTGAAAGAGTTTTATGCCAGCGTTTTTTGTCTTTTTATTTTCCACATCTGCCTTATTAATATTGCTGATACGTGCTCTACAAATACGTATAAAGGATATAGGGAGGTTGTGGGTTAAATATTGGTTTGGATTTCCAACCTGGAAAGGAGAGAGCCAGGCTGTTGCTCATGTTGACTGTCCTAATGTATTTGAGAGTTCTTAAAACGGTAAAAGTGGTGCTGTTTATTAGCTTATTGCATTTATGTCTCCGGTTTGCTCAGTGTGTTCTCTCAGGATTTCCCTTTCAGATAAACTGATTAATAAAGCCTGCAGTGACAATGCACATAATTCAATTTATATACAGACAGGGCACAGACATAATGATAAACCACGTGTTCATGAGAGCATGCACTCTTAAGAGGAGAGCGTCACTTCTGGAAAGGCTGTTGATTAAATTTTCTGACTTGAAAATAGTAAAATATAATTTGAATCTTTCCTTTTTTCATCTTTTTTTCCTTCTCCTCCCCCAGGAGCAGCTTTTAGTGCTGGACTTACAGGAGGAATTAGTACCTCTATAGCAGTGTTCTGTCACGAGCTTCCCCATGAATTAGGTAACTAATTTAATATACTCAATGTGTTCATGCTTTTCATCTCTACAAAACAGTTACCTAAAAGCTGTTGTGATACTCATCCTAATAAGCGTAATGCAATGCAGATGCTGCAGGGGTGACCAGAACTTCAAAGAGTAGTGGAGCCATATTACTTCAAATTACGTACATAATGAGAATGTTAAGCAGGCTTACACTGCAGGTTAGCTAGCTACAGCAGTTCTGTGAGGCTTTTTGAACATGTTTCTGAAATGTTCTTAGGAGCAAACAGCTTAGTTTTGGTGTTACATCTCTGCATTTTATAGAGAGTATTTTACACTACTCTGTGGCATTGTCTTACAAAGTTAAGTAAAATCACATGAGTAAACACAAGTTTACAAAAGTAGAATTCTGCGTAGAAGTCTTCAGAAGATGCTTTGTTACCAGTTGTTGCTGAGGCCAGTAGGTGTGGGTGACTCTTTCAGGTGAAACCTGTAGACATAGTTGCCAGTGGCACGGATGCACTGGTTCTTCCCCTGTAATTGAAGCATTTCTTCTTGGGGTTAGCTAACCAAGATGAAAGCTGTTGCTTTACTGTGCATGCTTTTACATTGCATGCACCCTGAGACTTAAGAGCCACTAGAGAGAGGAGTCATCATTATTGCCAGCAGCATGAAACTTGTACTAGATTAAACTCTGTGCAATTTATGTACTCAAATACAGACTAATTTATCTACTACTTACTCTCCTGAGAAGTGCTGAAACTAAACCCCTGTGTTCTGTCTCCATTTTAGGTGACTTTGCTGTGCTTCTTAAAGCAGGTATGACAGTAAAGCAGGCTATTGTGTACAACCTCCTGTCTGCCATGATGGCTTACATAGGGATGCTGATAGGCACAGCGGTGGGACAGTATGCTAATAACATCACCTTGTGGATCTTTGCAATCACTGCAGGCATGTTCCTCTACGTGGCACTGGTTGACATGGTAAGATTGTTGTTTTATGTCATTTTTGCATGCTGTGCATAAAACCTAGGATGTGAAGTGGCACCTGCAACAGAACTTTTTTTGTTACAAGAAAATCTGTTTGTTACAGCAAAATCTGTCAGCTTTATGTATCGTTTTGAAATACAGTAATACAAGAACAGATGGGTATTATACATTTGATTGTCTGATAATTTGTCATTGTTGCACAGTATTCAGGTACTCAGAATAACAAACTATTGTAGCCTATCCGGTGAAGAGCAATACATAGACTTCTGCTGTGTACTACCTGAAGTTTCCATTTTCGACTGTATTACATTTTTCTGAACTAAGTGTTTCTTGAAGGAATTCCTTCATTTACCTCATGCTTTCTTGAGTTAACTTCTTTGTAAAACTCTGTATTTCTCTTCTCTATGGGTTGTTTTGTAAGACATTTCATCAGATTTATTTTTACATATTCCAACTCCACTATTATTTATGTGTTGTCTTTGTCAGTACTGTTGGACTTTTCTTCATAGGTGAGGAATATAAGGAATATCCAGAGTTTTCAGATTTTTTTATAGTGTCACAGAATTTCTCTTGAATTACTTGTAGCTATTATTTGTGTATTTAAAAGAGACATGTATGTGAACACGTGTAAGCATGTAACATGACAAATGAATGGCTAAGTTAATCAGCAAAGACATTATAAAGGGTATATTTATAGCAGCGTAATTACTGTAGAAATAGTCAAAGCTTTTTATTATGCTTATTTGAACATGACAACTTTAAATAAGTAAAAAGTCAGAAGAGCAGAGCTGGAAGAATGCTGGGCTTGTCCTTGTCTTGAGGAACTTTGAGTAGATGTTTGATCCAGTAGAAGCTAAAGAAGAAAAAGTGGAAAGGCATTTTTAGTTTGTTTTTAAATATATGATGTGATCATGTTTTTATCAGATGTGGTGGTTAGGTGGAGTTTAATCTGTGTCTTAGTGTATTGTTTTTGTAATGGAATCCTGGTGTGTTTATTCTCTACAGTATCATCTTGTAAACTTGTCTGTGTATACATGGCATAGAGGGTGAAATAACTTCCTAAATTGCTGTTTGTTTTAGCTTCCAGAAATGCTTCATGGAGATGGAGATAATGAAGAGCATGGTTACTGTCCTGTGGGGCAGTTCATTCTTCAGAATCTAGGCCTGCTGCTTGGATTTGCTATCATGCTGGTGATTGCCCTCTATGAAGATAAAATTGTACTTGACATCCAGTTTTGACCTAATTCTGGTAATCACTGTGGTTACAATAATGTTACTGTATGGCTTTGAGTCTGCACTGTTTCACTGTATGCACATTGCTCAGAGGAAAAGCAGTGGCTTGCACTACTTACACAAGTACAGTATATTCATTTCTGTGTAGATTAACTTCTGCTTTTTTTCTGATTGAAATCAGACAAGATTACCCAGTGTATCTTCTAAACTCGAGTGACAATTAGGAAATACTAAATATGAGAAATAAATGCCAAGTTCATGTACTAGATAGGAAGCACTGATTGTTTAAGAAAGAAAAAGTGCAGTGAATGATCTACACGTGTGGGAAAATGCCATTTCATTAGTACATTTGAACAGAACCCAGAAAATGTTACAGCTGAAGTTCATACCTCTGCAAGGAACCCGAGTAAGCTTTTAGTGCCACGTAAGTCTTAAGTAGCTCATATATATATATATATCTGTATGTATATATAGATATATATAGAGATGGATATATAGATATATACAGATGTGCATGCCATGTAAATGTGCGTGCGTGTGTGTGTATATATTCATTCTGTGCTGATTCTTCTGCATAGTGGTGACTTGAAGTATTAAATCTCACAACAGCACATGACTGGAAACCACTGTGCTGGTTTAAATTCTAAAAAAGAAACCAAAACCCTCTAAACACTGTTTAAATTCTTAGAATATGTGTTAAGCTGCACTCCATCATTATAAACTTCATGTGTAAGAAGGCAGGCTGTTGCAATATATTCTGCAAAGTGCTATGTTCTGTCGAGGATCAGTTTGACGATGTTTTTCCTGACTAAGATTTATTTGATGTTTGTTCCTTGATATTAGTAGGAAAATGCAAAATGCAGTAGAATTAGTGTTAGCTTGGGGAAATCCCTGATGTTGGAGTTATTGAGCTATTTCTGGTTCTTTTTTACAGATGCTAAACATGTATTGTGTGCCACTTGCAGCATAAACTACTGAAGATTTGTGGCTGTGAATTTGTGCAAACTCTTTTAACAGAGAATCCATATGGGAATTTTCTCCATTTTTAGTAACAGTTGTTTTGGTCTGTTTTCTCCTCCTCATGTTAAAACAATCCAAAGTGTAAGAAAGATACTAGATTACTGAACCTGGACACAAAGGATAAATTATGGTCTGTGTATGTAGTACTGGTAGGTTATTTACAATACTGTAATATCAGATCAAAATCTGTTTCTACAATGCCTTTGATATCAGACACTGTAGCACCAGCCGTTTCTGGCAGTAGGGAGTACGTAAGAGGATTTCTACTTCCAGCATAAACGAGTTAGTTAATTTCTAAGATATTTCTTACACTTTTGGTATTAATTAGATCATGAAAAAGCAGATATGATAGACCAGCGGTATGTGTAACTTGGAAAGACAGACTGAAAATTTGGGCCTTAACTTCTCAGATCAGCTATCCTAGATTGGATTGTGCTGATATTCTTACATTGCCAGACATGAGTTGAGTTTGTTCTTGTACCCATCTCCTTAAAAACATTATGAGTTTGTGAGGAGTGCAAGTTGATTCTGTAGTACCAGTCCTTCTAAGCATGGTAGTAGCCTTTTTTAAAACATACAGTTCATCTTCTTTTATGCGTATGCCAGGTAAAAGCTGTATTTTGACTATGTGCCGTAAGTTTTGTTTAGGTCTGCTTGGTGCCAGTGTAACTGCTAAGAACACCGATTCTAACGCCTTTAATGAGAGCCAGTTGGTATCTTCATTCCATTTCAAGTTAATGTGTTTCCTGTGGCCCTTTACTTTTTCAAGCTTCATTGGTCAATTTAATTTTTACTGAGAGCAGCTCACTTATGTTAAAGATATCAGTTGGTTCTTGCCAGTATTTCTTCTAATGCAGTATCAAGAAACAGTATTAAGGGTCCATTTCAAAGGCGGGCATGGTTTCTTCAGTGAAGAAGCCAAAAGCCCAGAGTTCAGGCATGCAGCCGTTTGATGGTCTGAATTCAAGTTTCTTTTTTTCTTCTTTAAACACGTTTACTGTTGGACCCTAATTAGAAAACACACTGTTGTTAGCTTCAGATGACTGAATTTCTGCAGTGTAAAGATCCTGGGTGACATTTTTCATAGTGCCCATGTCAGGTCACTGAGTACCATTTTCAAAGAGACTTAACTCACTGCATACCTTCTGAGGATCTAATTTTAAACAGCCTGTTTCTTAGGTATTAAACTGACCCTTTTCTGTTAATTCTGTCGAGTATAAGGGGGTTATTATGTGGTTGAACTGATATTTTGTCAAATAAGTTTTCAAAGGTTATTCCTTTTAAATCTGTTCAAATGAAGATTTCTGTATTTCAGGTAGTATATTTACTTGTGTATTAGTTGGAGTATGGTTATAGCTTAATACACTGCCTCTATAGAAAAAATAATTAACTTCCTTCCAAGACCATCTTCAGACAAGAGAAAAACATGGTCCTTGAAGGTAGGTACTGTATTTTTCATGAAATATGGGTTATTTCCTTTTATTTTCCAGTATTTATTGCAAGTTATGAAGAGCAGTGTAACTAACAGCTGTGACTTCTGTATGTTTCCACCAGTATTGAGTTCCAGGTGATTCTAATGTATGCTTTTGAGTCATGTTACAGACAATCTGAATTCCACTACATTTCTACTTGGCTTCAACATTCCATTCTGCTTGAATCCAGAGTCTCATTTAACTTGTATTTGTTGGAGGGCATAAATGTTACTTGTATATTACAATGCTGTCACTGTGTGACATCCCATATGAATTTTGATGTAGATCACATTGCACTCAATCCGCTGTGATTATGCTTCGAAAATACTGTAGTTCCTAGATGCAGTGTGATTTCTTTTAATTTTTTTAACTCTTGTTTTTCTTTCCCTTCCCCATTAACAATTAAGTCTATGGTTTAAAATGTGATTCTGGTCCTATAAGATATAACTTGCTGAGCTGTCAGTCTTTTTGTTAAAACTAAATAGGTTTTTTAAATTTTATAAAGCTGGAAATGATCAAATGCTGTTTTGTTCATTGTCAACAGTGTTGTGCTCATTTTATGTATGTTCCTTATAAATAAGGAGCTTCCAGAAAATAAAATTATTCAAGGAGCAGAGATTTTCCGTTGGCTTTTATACAGTTTTATTGTGCATCTTTGTATTTTAGTATCTGTATTTCAGATCTCATGAAAGGCACGAATGCAACATTGTAAACAAATTCATTGTGATTTCTCTTTTAACGTGGCCTTTCAGGAGCAACATGCATCCTTCATAAGTGATCTGGAAAAGGCACCTACCTCCCAAAATGGGGACAGGTTTATGAGTTAAGCTGACATAGTAACGCCACACCCCTTCTGATCCAGTGCTCTTCGGGTTTGTCTGAAGCGAGAGTTACTGCGATGACGAAGTTGGTGGAATGGCCTGTTGTTGACAGAGTCCCTCTTCTCTCGCTGGTCTTGTACAATGGGGCCAGGTAACTCGGTCGCTTTGGAATCTCTGACCTCTTACACGGCTTTAGCCATATCTGCAGTGAAGAATAAAATAATCTTCCTCATCTCAGTTAAAAAAAAGAATCAGGGAACAGTCTCAGCTTTGCCAAAGTACTGGGACATTGTTTGTTAGGTTTTTGGTTTGTTTGCTTTACAAAAGATAGCGCTGACGCCCTGTTTCTTGTTACGAGATTGCTTCCTCTCCCAAAATACGCAACACGAAGCTTCCTGTTGCTGTCATTAATAGCAGATAATCTTAGCTCCTCTCAGGCAATTTATTTCTATTTCAACACAAAACATCAGTTGTTTTATAAGAATCACCCTGTTGATTCCTTGAAGACTAGAAATTCAAGAGTACTAATTCTACACCATCTGTTAGTATATAATACTATAAAATGTCACCGAACAAGAAATACTGACCACAGGCACTATATCATAGAGGACTTTTGGATGAGATTCTCCAAGCATCTTAGTTTGCCTGTTCCAGCGTGCTCCATCCAAGAACAACCCCCGAACGTAGACACCTGGATCAGTTGGAAAGGATAGCACGTTACCCAAAACCTGCAAATGTCTGCTAGCTGAGAGCAGCAGCTAGTGCAGCGCACTTTGCTAACTGTCAGTTAACTGTGTGGGATTTCTGTGTGTTCTAAGTGATGATCAAATAACTTTGAGTGTAACAAACACAATCGTATACTTTATAGCTACAACTCTGTAAGGTTTTATAAATTTACAATGTTTAGGGATATCGCAGTGTATCCAGCCTCTTCTGAATGGTCGGTGACAGCTGAAGAATGATTCTGCAGTACAGGACACTCTTTTTAAACTTGTCATTATTATAAAGTTTTCTGTACATACTACATATTGTCTGCTTTACTGTTTCCAAACTTGGAGATTTTATCATATAAACAGTCTTTCACTATTTAGTCTTCACATTGTTTCATTGCTTATGCTTAAAGTTGCTATTTGCTTATACCTTTCTAAGGCTGTTCATTAAAGAAGTAAATGTTTAAAAACCATAAATATCTTTATTTGACATGTCACAATGACATGATATGATATGATATGATATGATATGATATTCCCTCAGAATTCCAGAAGAAAAAAGGATAACAGCATCTGTTTTTCATCAGATTTGCACCCTCTTGCTCTGTAGACTGAAAACTGTGACTTCCAAAACACAAAATAAACGTGCCCCAATAGAAAATGACTTGAACTGTCTGGATGTGGCTCTCCCAGGCAACATGCTAAGCCCTTCTCTTTTATACAACTTCCAGTCAAAATGATCCTCATAAAGGTATTAAAAAGAGTACTAAGAACAGTTCTGTTTAATCTGTCCTTTTTTCTGAGGAAGGGTAAGCTAACAAACATACCTGCAACCGAAACCTAAGGTAAGTAGTATATAATAATAAAGCAGTGTCATAAAAAATAGAGCTTTTTCCTTCTTACAGTGGTCCCCTATTGCCCATTGTGATCATGTCTGTAAGATATTTGTCTAGGGACAGTTAAGGTAGCATACATAACTTCTCTACTGAATGCTTGGTTTTCTTTGGCTTACAAAAATAAGCATTTTCAGAGATATATACTAGTAGAGTGAAAAAAAAAAAAAGGTGGGGATAAAAAAAAGTTTGATATCTTGTGGGAAGTTTGGGTCAAGGAGTGTCCTCTGTTGGTGTTATTTTGTATCTACATGCTAATCCAGGATGTGAATTAATCCCAGCTGTTCCTAGGGATTTAAAATTGCCTCTTTGCTTCTTGTGCATCTCATGGGGAGCAGTGCAGATGTGCATGTTTGCCTGCTGAATTCATTAACTTAATTGCATAACTGAGCCTGCACATTAATGTTACCCTCTAAATACATCAGCAAAGGCAGATAATTCTCTGATGCATTTGCTTACCATCTTCAGGAGCAGTGTCGTATTCCTTATCTTCCAGCACTTCATAATCGAATTCTAGTTGGTCTATTGGAATGGTGTATTTTCTGGCATAGTTCTGCTGGGCACCTGTTAAGAATGCTTGAGTGAAGAAGAATCCTGAAATCCAGAAGACTGGTGGAGCTCCATTTTCATACCACAGCTGCAGCAGAAAAAGAGAGAGGAGGGAAAATAACCAAACAAATCTGCCTTTGATTTTATTAGTACTTAGGAAAGCACATATCTTCTAGAATAACAGCAGAAGTAATTTCTTGCTTTGTGAATCCAGGGCTGTCCTTGGGGCTTTTGGTTCTTGTCTGAAAGCAGTGGAACTTTGGATGGCTGAGCACAACCAAACAAAAAAATCACATAAAATAAGATTAGTTTCAATAAGTCCATTAAACATGCATCATCCCTCTAAGTTCATCAAATCCTCCTTCTCTCCCTTCTTATGTATCTTTGTTTCTCTGTGCAAATGACAGATCTCTTTTGCAGGCCGCTTTCTCTTTGAAAGGATCATTATTTCCCTTCCAGGGTCAAAGTCACGTGTTTAAGTGTGTACGCCAAGCTGAAGATGAGGAGAGACAATATGTTTTATAATTAAAGTAATCTGGTCGTAGCGGGATGTGTTTGTGGCTTTGTGCTTGGTTAATATCTTGTTCTGTTTTTAATAACTTACACTGTGGAGACATCTATAGAAAAATGATTTTAAAAAATGACAACATTTGTTGGATTGGGTTATAATACTTGTGAGGTCCGTTGCAATGGTGAATAATTACTGGGTGCAAGAAGACCTTTTTCTGATTGCTGCAAACACCAGTTTTGAATAATGTCTGAAAAAATTTCCTACATTGCAGAGAATTACAATGCAGAAACTACACCTTTTGTCTCTGCTAGTAAGTTTTCTTCCCAAGAAATAAAAAATCATCATTGTAGCTACTGTCAGGCTTCCTACAGATAAAAGTGGGAGTTACCGAGGCATGGGGACTGCGTGACGTGTCCCCAGCACATAAAATGGAGGTTCTCTGGAAATGCAGAATTTGTGAATATCCTGCTAGACCCAAAACTGGGTGTTGCTTTTGCTATTATATTTTAATTTCATTTTAATTTACTTTTGATTTTAGTTCTATCTTGGGACCTGTTTTTACAACAGGTATGGAGTAGGGTGACCTGCTTTAAGTTTGGTTTTCTTAAGTTGATAGTGATTACTAAGCCATAGAATGGTGCTGAAACTCTAGCTGTTACTCATTTAAAGTCAAGTTTTGGGAATGCACCCTTATAGGTGAAAGAGCCCCACTGATTGATTAACTCATCCAGCTTGCTTTCAGCATTTTACTGAAAGCTTGGTATTTGACTTTGAACATAAAGATTTTGTGTTCAGATGTTTATAAGGTCGCACACTGGAAAAGAAACTCAGCAGTATTTTACTAAGTTCTCTTTGAATTAAATTCATTACCATCACCAGATCTGTATGAAGAGGCCCTTAGTAAATTTACATCAGGCGGCCAGTTCTGTTGTACAGTATTACTGACACACAGGAGCTCGCTCTTTGTGAGGTGGAGGGTATGTGGCAAAATGTAGCGCTTCATTAGATGCTGTGGTGGGTAAAGGGCTGTACAAAATGGATGTGCGGATGAACTGACCCTGTCAGTTATTCCCAGTCAGTGGAAGTAAATGGCATGTATATGTTCACTGGTGGAGATGTCACCTGCCATCAACAGGCAAAAATAATAAACAGCATTGAACAAATGTGTGTAAATAAATGGAGTGTGCTCACCTGCAAAAACTTCAGTCTTTGAAGGAAGTCAGTCACATAGCTGCCCAAAGGCTTGAGGCTTGGGTAAGACTTACTCATCCATAGTTCTGGAATTCTGCCTTTCAGAATGCTATCCACCACTTTTTCCAGTTCAGCAGACATCACTACTAGCCCCTAAAGTAAATTTTGGAAAGGAAGATATCAAAATACGTTGCCTAAGCAGATTGTTTTAATGCTAATCAACGTAGTGCTCTGTCCAACAGATGTATGAACCGAACCACGTATCAGTGTGGTTGGCAAACTTGCTGAGGGTGCACTCAATCCCACTGGTCTTCTCTGAGTTTACTAGCTGTAAATGCTCTTATTTATCATTATTTAAAGTTTCCTGAAAACTCTGTGACATTGCTGCAAGTGCCTTATTCGGAAGTGGCAGACTTTTTAGCTTGTAGTTTGGCTTTAATGGGGAGAGGAGTAGTGGTTTTGGGGATATGTAAAAATTCCTTGGAACTTTTTTTTCCCTGTGTTTTTTCTGTGGAGTTTTGGTTTTTTTTTTTTATCCCCTTATATTTTGCACAGCTGTAGCTTCTTATTCCTTTTGATCCTGAGAACGAACACTGACTTTAGACTGTGATATTTTAACTGGAATCCTCAGTGGCAGTAAGTTGCTATTTGAGGTGTTGAGAACATCTGCTTTCATCTGTAAGAAATTGTGTGAGGTGCTTCAAGTCTTTCATACCAGCGAGGCAGAAAAACAGATTTGCACTTAAGTACTGCTTGTCTTGCTGGAAAAGCTGTAGTTGAAAACCTCCTGATTTGGTTTCTGTAAGTAGGCACTGTAGTACTGTTACAGTCCATTGTACTCCTACCAGATTTTAAGATACAGATCAATAAATGTTTCAAATTTGGATTCTTTAAAGTATTTGACTGACCGGAATCCAACTTCAGGGTCAGTTTTGCTGGGC